CCCCCCCCCCCCCCCCCCGGGGATCAAGCCTGCAACCTGGGCATATGCCCTGACCAGGAATCAAACCATGATCTCCTGGGTCATAGGTCAATGCTTAACTGCTGAGCCACTCCGAGCCAGACTCACCTCCCCTTCACTTGTTTCTGGATGTAGCTTCCTGCCTCCACTGGTGTGAAAGGGTTTGCCTTCCCTGTCCCTCTGATCTTTTTTAAATCCTCTGGCACCCAAGGCCAGGGGTCCTCATAGAGTGCTGGAAAGTGTACTGGACAAGGCAATGGGAGATCCGGGGCCAGGTCTCTGCTCAATTACCACTGTGCTGTGTGATCGTGGGCAAGTTGCCGAACCTCTCTGGGTCTCAGTATTGCTGGCAAAACAAGGGACAGTGGATCAGTTACACTCCCTTCCAGGTATGGGGAGGCTTATCTGTTCCCCAACACATGACCCCCGATCATGCAGGGGCCAGAGAAAGGACTTTGTGTTCCCTCCATACCCAGCCACTAATGGGGGATGTCCTGTCTGAGTTCATGTCTTCCCACCTGCACATTTGGGCCATGGACCTCTAGGGGTTACCCTGTCATGAGTTGGAGGTGGCAACAGGGAGATCAGTAAGAGATTGAGACCTGCTGAGCCAGGCACCTGCACCTGCTGGCCCTCGCCAGACTGCACCCCATTCCCTGGAAGGGGTTTGTTATGCAGGCCCCTCATGTTCTGAGCAAGATGAGAGGGGTACATGTGTGACAGTAACAAGGAGGGAGTCCTGACCATGTCCCAGGCACCAGGTAGGTGACCTTTTATGTTCCAGGCAAGGTTACTAGCAGGTGCAAAGGCCCTGAGGCAGGAATTACCTGGTGTGTGTGAAGTGCAGATAGGGAGCTGGTGTGGCAGGAGCCAGCAGGGAGGGCAGAACATGGAGCAGGTTGAGCCAGGCCAGGCCAGGCCAAGCACACTGCCCTGCATTAACGGGAATCATCCTTGGTCCTGAGCCCCAGAAGCCAGGGGCCAGGTCTCCTTACTCACTGCTATGTGGTTCCATGCTCAGAGGAGCCGAAAATGCTGGCAGTGGACACAGATGGTCAACAAGCAAACAACACTAGAACATATCAGTTGGTGATAAGGGCTCTGAAGAACAAGGCACAGCAGGGTAGCAGATAGAGAAGCGTGTGCTATTTTGTGAGGCTTGCACAAGATTACAGGCACACCTCGGAGATACTGCGGGGCTGGGTCCAGACCCCCGCAGTAAAGCGAGGTGGCATCTTCTTGCTGGTGGGGGGGCCTTGCTTTCCATTTGTGAAAAACACAACTCCCATAAAGTGCAATAAAGCAAGGTGTGCCTGAAAGGAACTCATTGTAGGGCTGGATATCAGTAGATCCTGTCTCTTCATGCATTTACTTATTTCATATTTACCCATCCAACACTAAAAAGGTGTAAGGCACTCAGCACCTGGCATGTGATCAGCGCCCCAACATTCATCTCCCTGTCCCCTCCTTTGAGTTAAGAACCGGCCTTCCTCGCCTCCTGCTCACTTCGTGGGGGCGGCTTAGGAAGCCTGCTTTCAGCTCAGCCCGTAGCGAGCTGGGGGGGGAGCTGAGGCAGCGGCCCCAGGCAGGCGGGTAGTGACGTCAGAGCCTGCATCTGGAGCAGGTTGGGGCCCTGGCTGCTGGGTGAAGGGCCACTCTAGCAAGCCTGGACAGCTCCTCCTGTGTACCCAGGGCAGGGCCCTCCTTTTTCAGGAGCACAGTGTTCCCACTGCCCTGCCCCCTCCCCCCCTCGGGCTTCCTCTTCCTGGCTCCTGAGGGCACCCTGGACGCTCTGGTCCCACCAGGTCCCTGGAGAGGAAGCAAGATCAGGGTGAAGGAAGAAACCAGAACAAGAGGCCATTCATTGGGTGTTGCCCGCGTCCAGCCCTGGGCTAACAAGCACTTTTCCATTTGCAGAGAGTGGCTGGGGAGAGGAAGGGAAGTGGGGACCAGAAGAGAGACGTGTCGGGGCCAGAGGCTCTGTTTACAATGATGCAGTGACCCTAATGTCCCTTTCTATCTGTTGCCACATAACCATAGTATGGAAGTTGCCCAAAGGGAGTCTGCAAGGGTGAGGATCGAGGACACCACAGAAAAACCGAGAGGGAAAAAGATTGCTCCTTTGGGGTCTCCCCTAAATTAGAATCTTGTCTGACCCCTGGGGACCCCTGTCAATTCGGGAGGAAAGGAAGGTCACAATTCTTTTCCTTTTCGGAGCAGCTTGCCCTCCCTGGCAGTTGTGTGACCACAGTGGGTCAGCCCCCCACCCTCCATGAGATTGTAACCCAAGGAAATGAGGTCACCACTGGTTGGATCAACATTGCTCCAACCCTGGCCTGTGGTTATCGGTGACATAAGACGCTATTCTGGCCTGGCCCAGTGGGAGAGAGGCCTGTTTGTTTGGGTGGTTGGACTCCAACCTGGGCGCTGGACAGGCCGTTAATTATGCTTGGGAAAGGGCCCCCCAGGGTGCTGTGAGGCCCGACTTTCCAGGGGAGCACACCCTGCCCTCCCACCTCGGAGAACGTAGCCACAGAACATTCCAGCCTTTACTGCCAGGCTCTGGCTGCTCCTAATTATTAACCTGATAAGGATTTACAATAAGAAACTGCAGCAACTGGAACTCTCCATCGGTAATTTGTAGCATAATACAAGTCATTATAATTTCCAATTCTGATTTTATATAGTAGGTGACCAGGTGCAGGCCACCCAGGATAGTAATTTACAATGATCAGCTCATTTAATCATCACAAAAGCCCTTGAAGTAGGTACTGCTGTTAGCGTTAGCCCCACTTTACAGCTGGGGAAACTGAGGCACCAGGAGGCTAAAACCACAGTGAGGCTAGTAAGTGGTAGAGCCAGAGTCAAACCCAGGTCTGTCTGATGCCAGAGCATCGCCCAGCCTGCCATCCCACCCGTTTCTGTCCAGAGCATTTTGGCGCCCCAGGTGCCTGGAGCCGCCACTTCTTGGTCAGAATAGTTGACTAGGACTTGGATGCTCCCTCCCCGGTGAGGGGGCCGAGCAGGCAGTTGGGACTCCAGGAGGCCATTGCCCACCCAGTGGGAACTTGGGGTTACCTTGACCCCTGTCCTCACATGCTCCCCTAGTGGGCCCAGAGTGAGGAGGCCAGTGGCTTAACCAGGAGGAGGAACCGCCATCTACCTCGGAGCCACCGCTGGGGGCCAGGGCCGGGTAGAGAGCCACAGTTGTCA